AGATTTCTTGCGTGGGTGAGCCCAGTGTTCTTATGCATCATAAGACTTACAAATATCGTGCAGTGGGTACAAATGTAGACTTCCTATACAACTTTCTTGCTATCTGCATCCTGGTCACTGCACCAGTCCTGGTTTCTGTTTGTAATACTTCAGGTGTTGGTGTCTGTCTACAATGTCTTCATGTTATCTGCCATCTTAATTACTGGTATGTTGATGTCATGACCTTTCTTTTTCTCTAAGGGGTCTTTCTGGAAAGCTTGAATGGATATGAAGTTAAAATGAGCTTCATTATTCTCTCTGACCGTTCAGCCTCTGAGAAAGATCCTTGTCTCAAGATATAAAACATAAACACAAAAATACGAAATGGCGATCAGCGATGATTTCTCCTATAAGTAACAAAAGCAGTGATGTAAACTTTAAAAGATCAGAGAAAAGTTTTCAGATAAAATTCAAAGCAGTGCAGAAGTTACATTTAGACCAGAATCCCCAAAGTAATCACTTCTGTCCTTGTCACAACACTGCTGATCAATTAATTTTAATGGCTGCTGTCTGTGATACATATTTTCTTCACCTTTATTCATGCATGGGATGAGGACATCGCTGGCCAGATCAGTGTTTATTGGCCATCTCCAATTGCTCAGAAGACAGTTAAGCATCAACAATGTTGCTGTGGGTCTGGAGTCACATGAAGGCCAGACCAGGTAAGGATGACAGTTTCCTTCCCTAAAGGGCATTAGTGAACCAGATGGGCTTTTCCCCAACAATTGACAATGGATTCACAGTCCTCATTAGATTCTTAATTCCAGATATTTATTGAATTCAAATTCCACCACCTGCCATGGAGAGATTCGAACATGGATCCCCAGAACGTTACCTGGGTCGCTGGATTAACACCTCTTCCCAATACCACATCAGCCTAGATAGTGAATTATAAAGTTTATTTTTACACAAAGCTGATCCCACAGCTTAGCAGGCTGTCTCTGGTGCTCTAAAAACAAGCATGGAGCATAGCCTCTGTGCAATCCCTTGCTCAAATGGCTATCTTTATTTTCAACACTTCCTGCTTCTGCAACAGCTAAATCTAAGAAACATAACTCCATCATTTGCTTAAAATCCTTCAATTCAGACAGGACAGCTGCGGCTTTCCAATTCATGCAATGGAATTTTGTAGTAAAGTTCTGATGTTCCCCATCTTTTGCAAATGTTATCAATTTCTGGGGCTTTATAGCAGCAAGACTGAAAGGCTACTGCATGTGGAGATTCATCAATATAGCTGCTGTGTTTCTCGTATTCTTTTTATAGAGAAAACTTCACTGTGCTGTTTTTGGATGCAGTTCAAGCTTTTCTGTAAAAATCATTTTTGTTTCATTTTGGGAATGGCACCCAAGGTTGTCTCAACGGCCCTGAAGTCTCTACAACACAATTCGGAACTCACTCACCACCTGCATGGACCACCGATCTGGCCAGCTTGTAAAATCGAGTACTCACAGTTCAGTGAATAGCTTTTGTGTTGTGGGGTTCCAGTGTAAATGTGACTTCTGTAATGATTTGATTCTTATCTGAAGAGTCTTTTCTGATGTTTTAAAGTTTACATCACTGCTTTTTTTTAAGAAAAGTCATCCTTCATCACCATTTCATACTCTGGCATTGTGTTCCTTAACACAATATTAACATTCTCAGAGATAGTAGCTTCTCCTTTATGCATCTTCTATCTGCCTCCCCCTCTTTCCCTATTTATTTCAGAATCCCCTTCCCCTCCCCCATTTCTGAAGAAGGGCCTAGACCCAAAACGTCAGCTTTCCTGCTCCTCTGATGCTGCTTGGCCTGCTGTGTTCATCCAGCTCTATACCTTTTTGTCTCATTAACATTCTCATACTGGTTTCGTAACTGACATGGTTTCAATTCACTTGGACATCTCAAATGAGTTAACAGGCAAAATGATAACTTGTAGTCACATCCCTAGTCTAGCAAGCTGCTACTTGAAGTCTTCACAGCTGATCATGTGGTGTCATCCTACTCATTTTGTTTAGCAGACTCAGCTCCTCAGTCAGTAACATTGCAGAGGAAACTCCTATAAAGAATCAGTGGAAGCAGGAAAAGCTCATGTTTGGTTTAACACATTTCCTGTTGGCCAAATGTAATTACACTTCTTCTTTTCATTAAGATAATGAATTTTTTTTTAATGTCAGATGATGCTGTGAGGCAGACCAAATGCATAGATATTATCCCACAGCTACCATTTCCAGTCTTACAGTCATTAGATAGCAGAATACCAGAGGAGTAAGATCTTACAAATCAAAGACAACTTGATCACTTCCACTTTTAAAAAAGATCCTTAAAGATGCAAGAATTGTGCTGTGTAGCACGACTTATCAGTAAGGGCTCATATCTTTATCCTTGGCTAACTCACTTTGACACAAACACAGCAGCATCAGCCAATGTGTCTTTCATTCTTCTACATAATCCTGCAGGGATTCATCTGAACACTGCAGAAAAAGCATAATAGCCATGTAATTCCTATGTGCCTTAGAACATTCAAGATAAATGTCACAAGATTAGGCACTAACTATAAGAGCTGAGCAAAACATTGAACTAAAAATTTTAAAATATCATTAGGGAAATTGAATTTTTTTCAGAGCTAATTAAGAAGCATTGAAGTACTACTGACCAATGAGTTAAATTGCACTACAACACATTTTATTAACAATATGTCTTAAGTTTCAAAGAAGCCTCTACTAAGTTAGAAATAAAGAGTATAACAATTGATAATAAATCATTCATCTGTAAATTTAAAATAGTACAAAGATATAATTTACATTTTTAATTAGCTACTTTATGGATCTATTTGTGGCACAAGTATTTTTCCAGGTTATGAATGCCTGGTTCAAATTGATGCAGTGTCTCTAAATAACATATCCATCTATTTGAACCAGATATTGATACAGAATTCAAAACAAAAGTAAAAGTGCTGGAAATATTCGGCAGTTCTGGCAGCATCTGTAGAGAGAAACAGAGTTATTAAGGATTTTGCTTTGATGACCTTTCATCAGTAATTTCAGGTTTCCAGCTGTATCTTGTTTTTGTTATAATATGCAAATTGTTCAATTGAATACAATAATGCACATTGCACTTATTCCTTGTATAAGTGTTGCACCAATTTCACTCATCAAAAATCATTACTTAAGTGGCAAACAGATTGCTGGGTTGATGCTAAAAATGTACTTCTTTTCAATGGTACGTACTGGCAGTCCAAGCATTTGATTATTCATATTGAGACTTGAGTTGATATATTGTGCATTTACTTTTTTAAGGGTGTCGTGGTGGCTCAGTGGTTAGCACTTCTGACTCAAAAGCACCAGGGGCCCAGGTTCAATCCCAGCCTTGGGAGGCTGATAGTATACTGCCCATGTTGGCATAGGTTTCCTCCAGGTGCTCTGGTTTCCTCCCACAGTCCCATGATGTGTAGGTTAGGTGGATTGAGTGGGCTGAAGTGTCCAGGGGTCTGCAGGCTTGATGGGTCAGCCATGGTAAATGTGGGTCTGGGTGGGATACTGTTTGGAGGGTTGGTGCAGACTCAATGGCCTCTTTCTGCAGTGTCGGGATTCTACTTATTCTGTAATCAGAACCTGTGTCCCTTCAAGCCTTCATAATACATATCAGTTAAGAAAGCATTCGACTATATCTCTAAAGAATTTTTCCATTATATAAATGCAAACAGAATTATTCCAGTCAAAATTGAAATCGTCTTCAAATTTGCTGAGATTTGATTTGATTATTAGTTTAACTTCTATTGCCAGTTTCTTGCAATTTACTGATACAAAGGTACAGTCTGTTACACTGGGGGTGGTGAAAGGAATAGTTAATCAACCACATTTATACCCATTTTACGCAGCAATATTCTAGGGTGCACTTGCTTTCTCTTGTGCTTTAACCAATACAGTTGCATTCACATTGAGATACTGGTCTGGACTATCTTGAGTGGTGGGTCCTTGCACATACACTGTCCCTTCGGGTAGTTGCTCCTTAGCACTATGATTCTGGGGAAATATTCACCTTTTAGAATTATTTATGGGTCTAACTTGCTGTTTCAACTTCATTGAAACCCCAATTGCAAATGGTCAATGTTTATGCAAGACAAAACCATAAGAGAGGACAAAAACATTCAGATGATCTATTCAAAAACATTTTTTAAAGATTAAAAGGTAGAATTATAAAAAAAATTAAAATGATAGAAGACAAAGTTTTAAGTAATAGTAAAAAGAGAAAATGCTTTAACTTAACTGATCAGACTTTCTCACAATTCCTTCAGATGGTTGGGCTGAAGTGAAGTGTGGTGTCCTCTCTTCTCCCCGCACAGGAAAATAGGTGAAGAAAATATGTTCTGAAACCTTTATCTCATACTCTTAACTCAAGTTTTCTTATCATGAATTAGCCTAACTGTCCACCACTTATTGGTTAACTTTGTCATAGCAGGGTAGCAGGCTGGACATTAAGCCCCATTGTTCCGAGAGTTATCATAGAAGTTAAATATGTTTTAAAGTATACAGAATTTCCCAGAGTTTCAGACTCAAGTTGGCAGAAAGCACGCGCCAGAGTTCTGTACTAACACGAGGCCATTGTGGTAGTCAGTGCCAATAGCCCTCTATCCTGTCATGCCCTCTAATGTCATTCCACATACTCCCCCATTCACTTTGAGTTTACCTAATCACCATCCTTATTCCCACCTCTACATGTGCCTTTGCTGTCTCCGCCACCTCTACCTTGACTCCCCCACCTTTTTAATTTTATTTTACTTATTTTTCCTAATCAACCTGTTCAGAAATGTTATTACACACCTCTGGAGTAGGTAGGATTTGAACTAGGCCTCCCAGTTCAGAGGTAGGGACACTACTACTGTACCACAAGAGGGGCCCCCCAATAATCTCCCCATTGTGGGAAATTGAACCCTGGTTTCCCGCATGGTAGGCTGGAATACTTACCACTATACTAACAAGGAATTGACTTAAACATGGCTAGATGCCACTAAGTAGATGGCAATAACTTAACCACTTCTGTGTTTTAAGTCCACTTGAACCCATTCCATCCTTATCAAGGGAAGTCCCAACCTTCTCTCCTTTCCCCCACCTTTTTGTCATTGATCTCCTGACAATTCATAATTGGCCCCTTGCACCTTCCTTAATAAGCAACAAACAGATCCCCAGGGCTATATTTGCTGCGGATCATTGACTGACTTCAATGAGTAGCCCCTAGACGTGACTGACCAGACTCTGAGCACTGCCATTGCAAAACCCTGACTGATGCCCTGACAGATTCTGGTGGCCCTAAAAGACCAGCCTATACCCACTCTCTAGGCAGCATTTGGACTTGATCCCTGACCATAAGCATCTCAAGCTAAGGACTGACACATGGCCAAGCCACAGGACAGTGTGTGTTGACTGTGCCCCTGACCAACAGCTTTCACCTCTAGTCCTGGACTGAAGACTATCCCCCACCCAGTTTCTGACACAGCCGTTTGTTGAATAAACATTCAGTGTGTTTGTTGTTCAGGCACCTGGCTCATGCTGTACGTGTTCACTGCTGTCTCACAGTGTGCTGTTCAGCAAGCCGCACCCCCCAACCCCTGCTCCAGTTCCCCAGACAGATCCCTAATTACAGTCAAGCAGCCTGTCCTTGTATCTGCGCAAAACAGGATTTTGATACAGTGTTGAGAGCCTTTGCCTCTGGCTGAAGTGCCAGTGCACCAACAGGTATGGAATGGCAAGACACAGCTGCTGATCCAATCCATGAGCTGGGTGCCTGTCCCTGTAGCAGTGTGTCTTTGCTGCAGCTTGTCAGTGCTTGTTACCAATGTCAGTACGAGTTACTAGTGTGCCCTATAATGCAGGTCTGCACTCCCTGAGTAGCCTGCACATATATTGGAAAGGTGTAATGATGGTTGTGAGGGCTTGTCCAAGGGTGGGTGCCAATGTCTGTTGATACTTGATGCATGCAGCTGGTGCCCATGGATGGTTCCCTGAGATGCTGTTTGGTGCTGAGCAAGATGGAGGCTGTTTGCAGCCAGTGGTGAGCTGAAGTCACCAGGTATCCACTCTATCATGTCAAGATATCTCAAAATCTGCTTTGTTTGGCATTTTGGTAAGATAGGAAGCTGCATGTTAATAAGGTGCAGAGTTAAAAATGCATTTAACAAGCTATGAACCCCCTTAATTAGCAACTCCCACTGCCTAGTGAGAAACCCACCTCTGGGAAATGCATAAACAATTCAACAAGATGCTACTGATGTCAAGATAGGCCTCACCAGATTTAACCTAGAACATAGAACAGTACAGTACAGCGCAGCAGAAGAACAGGCCCTTCTCTGGTTGAATTCTGCCACAAATCTCACCATTGCCCACATTGCTCAGACTCTATAAGCTTTCATCCTTTGTGTTTAAATTCCTGATCTTTTCTTGATCCACAAACTTGACTGTGTGACCTCTTTGTGAAAGCTTTGCAAACTTGGTGTCTCTGACCAAGCCGATTGTTCCTTGCAAGTGTAATGTTATTGCTGCTGTAGCCAGTGTTTTTTGTTTTGCAAAGATGCCTGTCCAAAAATTTCAAGGTACGTATACACATTTATATATGCCCAGTCAATTTTTATGAACTACTATTTTGGTTAACACATCTTCATAACACCTCAACACTCAGAAAAAAATGAAACCACGACCTGTAGAGATGTTTCATCACAAGATGTCAAAAATCGTAACAAAAAAGAATAGGAAATATATACAACTTCATTCACTCTTGAAGTTTCACTAATATAGCTATACCCTTTACAGTTTTTGTAGGATAGTTGCATACATTTGTACAGCTTAAATCTTTACATCTTTTCTTGAGTAAGTTCTATTTGCAAATTGGTTATTTTTATGTATTTCTTAAAGGAACCTGGCCGATTAATTTTTGGTACTAAGATATATACAGTCTGTCGTATGTTTAATTGACAACATCACCTCTCTTTTACAATTCAAACTTTGTGGTGACCAGTGAAGCATGCAGTATCCAAAGTTTATTAATAGGGAGGTGGAGTATAAAAGCAAAAAATATATGTTAAACTTGTATAATACACTAGCGTAGCCTCAAATGGAATGTTGCATCCCATTCTAGATACATATTTTAAGAGAGATTGTCAAGGCATTAAACAAAATGCAGAAAAATGTTTTTAACAATAGTTCCATCAAACGTCAGATCACCTCAACAGATTGGAGAAGTTTAGATCATTTTCCTTGGAGAAGAGGAGGTTGAGAGGAGATTTGATGGAAATATTCAACATCATGAAGAGTCTGGATATAATAGATAGGAAAAAGCTTTTCCCATTAGTAGAAGGACCAAGGACAAAAGGGCATAGATTTAAGGTAATTGGCAAAAGAAGCAATGGCAGAATGAGAAAAAACTTTTTCACACAGCGGGTTGTTAGGATCTAGAAGACTTTGCATGTGAGTGACTTTAAGGCAGATTCAGGTGAGGCACTTAAGAGGAAATTGGATTATTACCTGAAAAGGAAGATTGCTTTTGGCTATTGGGAAGAAAGCAATGGATTGATGTTAGAAGCATCATCACAGATACAACTAGCCGAATAGCCACCTTCTGTGCTGTAACTATTCCAGGATTCTGCAATTTCATTTTGGATTCAGATGATAAAAGACTACCCAAATTTGTGAACTTTGATTTATGACATCTAATCCCTGAGATGAGATTAGTTCATGGTTATGTTAATTTATAATTTGGTAATTTTATTAATGCAGACCTGATTTACTTTGTGGCTTTTAAGTAAATAAATTTGTAACCATTATTTAAGCCATTCATAACCATTACACAACCTTACTGGAGTTTTGTTTTATTCATTAATCCATGTCATTTCAAAAGGCCATGTCACTTCCTTATTCAATATGAAGTTACTTAAATAGTCAAAATTTTCAAGATAATTTCTTGTGTTCTATTTCAAACCTGTGTTTTTAGACAGGTTTTCAATTAACTGTTCTAAACACTTCTACTATAATTTTGTCTCAGTTTCTCCTTTATTTTGAACTTGGTAGAAACCATTGATATATTAATTTTTGGAAAATAAAAGGTTTTTATTAAAAGAATGGTGTCACAAGGTTCAGCGCTTAAAACAAAACAATTTTACCGCATGATAAGCAAATAAATACTATTAATACTACTATACTATTAACTACACTGTATCCAAAATAGACAATATATTGAAGATACTTTGATATTAATATCAAAAGATAAGCCATTAAAGATATTAAAAAGATTTTGACTCAAACTGAACTTAACTCAAATTTCCTTAAACACACTAATAACCAAAAAAATCTCAGTCAGATTCTTAGCAGAAATTGGAAAATTAAGGCTCTGATCTGAGTCCTGGTTCAAAACTTTATAAAAAGGGGTCAAGATTTCTTGGGTTTTCTTTCTATTTCCAGCGAGGTCATCCTCTGAAATTTTTTCCAAACTTTCAAACTCAGATATTGCTAACATTTTAGCACAGGCGCCTCAAATCAGAACTCTCATTGCTCTGAGGTAGTAGGAACTGCCGATGCTGGAGAATCTGAGATAACAAGGTGTGGAGCTGGATGAACACAGCAGGCCAAGCAGCATCAGAGGAGCAGGAAAGCTGACGTCTCAGGGCTGTGTTCATTCAGCTCTACACCTTGTTATCTCTCATTGTTCTACTATTCTTTGATTTGAGAGTCTTGCATCCAAGAACTCTCTCTTCCTCTCACTCTCTATTCGTGGAATGTGGGCATCACTGGTTAGATCAGCATTTTTTTTGCCCAGAGGGCAGTTAAGAGTCAATAACTTTGGTTAATAGAGTCCTCCACTTATTAAGACTTTTAAACATGCTTAGCTACAACGTAAAATTTCCACTACAATCTGCTTGAAATAGATGTTCTCTGCACCTACCTTATCCTCAACAAAAAGCTGCTTAATAAATGAACCTCACACCAAGAATCTAATGTCTCATGTAATTAACTTCTTCTTGATCCTTTTTCTATTGTTTATTACTTAGGCAGCTTGGTCAATGATCCGTTACAGGAAGCATGCTGTCTTTTGCAAAAAACAATCATCTTCCAGAGAAAGTTCTAGTTTTTAAAGGGATAATCACTCCAACAAGAAGCACAATAGGAAACACACCTTTGTGAAGTGATTTGAATGTTTGTCATGATAAAAGTGTTATATGAATTCAGGCAGTTTGTATTTTTTTTAAAGGAAATTAAATGTGCATTCACTGCACAATTTTGCACCAATTGTGAGGGGTTATGTGGAAATAATATGATCATATATTAAAGGGTGCACTCCTGACCATGACACCAAATCATTATTGCAATTGTTGTTTAAATAAAGTTTTTACTCAATCTTTAGCTGATTTGGTCCTGTTTTATTGATTTTTAAAAAGTCTAAACTTAATTGTGTTATAAATTCGTCAATTCTCAAATTGTCTGTCTGCAAGGCCAAAAAGCTGTCAAAGCATTCTCTACCTGAATCTGAACAAAGCTAAAGCCAATATCTTCAGTTCCTAATAATATTTCTGATGCTGTAATGAAGGCAAAGTCCTGTGGGTTTTGGAGAACTCTCTTCATAGAAGCTGCTGATTTTTTACGGCATGTTCTGTTTTTACTTCTGATCTTGTAGTTTTGAGTCAATTAATATGCCTCACTGTAGCCTGGAGATGACCTAGAAAATCAGAAACCAAGGTCCACTTTTTATTTCTAAATTCAGCTTTTACATCACGTGTCGTAGTCATCACCACAATTTTCTGCCAACTCCACCACCATATCCACCTTCTGCTGCTGATGCCATAGCCCACATCTTCATCATGAATTGTCTTTGAAAATATTCATGCCTTCAGCATCAATCTCCATAAACTTTGCCCAACCTAAAATATCCCAGCCCATCTTCTCACTTGGATGCTATCACACAATCCCATCAGCCCATCTCTCTGAGTTCTACTAATTTCCCCACATCCCAGTGTATTGACTTCAAATTTCTTGTGCCTGTTTTCAATTGTTACCACTGCTCCTCTTATTTTTGAAGTCCTCGCTTGTGCCTACCCTTCCTTTGTTTTTCCTTACTTTTGACCTCTCTGC